GATTTCTACTATAAAGTATTTCAATACCTACATAACAACATTTCTTTGACGCCAATGTGGCAGTTTTGTGTGTAGCACTGACTATCTTGTTGTTTTTCATCAGCAAAGGATGTGCAAATCAAATAATGCACTTGTGACTTCTATTTTGATTATCACAGTTATTGGGCAAAATTGTGGTTCAGCGCTTGCTCCTTCACCTATTTTCTGGAAAATTCTTTAGTTTAAGAAGTCTTATCTGCACATCCTTCCAATAAAAAGCAACAGAGGGACAGATGCCCTCAGCAGTTGTTCAGTTCTGTCAGTGGTCCACGTTGTGTGCGTCATTTGCTTTCTCAATAAGGTGCATTTACATGATACCCAACAGTGAACTCAGTGAAAAGAGTGAAAAATAATTTGGTTAACAGAATTCCTCTAGCAGGTAGTTACCTTGGTTTCAGCCTAAAAACATTCTGCAGGTATGTAGCAATGCAATTCATGAGCAGTCTCAAAGTAATGTTCCTACAATAGCTTAGTCGTCACATTCATTTCATAAAGCTCTTCTGCTTATTGTTTAACATTCTCCATTTTTTTCCCCGATTTATATTGATTTATAAAAGGTTTGAATTTCAGTTTAGAAAAAATTTCTCTTAAAAAAAAAAGCGCTATAAACCATTATGAATGAGTCTCAGCCAAATTTAAATGGAAATATCAATAAATCACAATGCCTCACACACTTGTGAAGCTAGGCCTGAGTGGGCACATAGAGTGTATTATTTGATACATGCACAACTCCAGTATTCGTTATGTTGGAAACACTGTAAATATCTAACTTCTTTTAAAACATTTCCGCCAGCTGAATATTTGAAGGCTTTTATAATACATGATTCTACTTAAATGTAGTTAAACTATCAATCAGGCTATAGAGATTTGCATTTACTGTATTAGCATTCAGACAAGGCACTTCTTTGCTCATTTCTTCACCCATGCTTTTCATTTCCCACTGAGATATATTTCTGTGGTAGGTAAAATGTACTTAGATGTACATGCTGTTTTAGCGTCCAAAAGTCAGTAGTGGACGGGATTTCTACCTTTAGCGTGGGATCCATTCCACGTAAACCAAGGGTTCAATATTGTGATTTTAAAATGCTGTATGGGGTAATAAAAAGCAGGAGTGAAGATGGAGAAATAAGATGCACATATGCTGACAAATCACATGATACGGCTTAATTTCAAAAGCCCAAGCCTAACTCACTAGTACTCTCTCAGTCAAAATGGCAAAAAGGAAGGATGAGATATTCAACCTTACTTAACTGTCATCACAGATAGCTGCTGAACACAATAAAGCTACCCCTCTTGCATGATAGCTAATTTTGAGAGGAAACACCAAATTATCCCTTGACATGCAAAAGACTCTGCAGAGCACCAAAATATGATAGCACCCAGTCAATTGCTCTGTTTTACTTCCCATTAACCCCTTTGCCATTTTAGTTTATCACACCACTTCTCATTGTGACACATCATCAAACACAAATATTTGTTGACACATCATCCGTCATGTTCAAGGTCCGGTCTCATCAAAGGTATTCCTGCAATGTTATGACGAAGCACCCAAGAAAGTCACACCAATCTTTGCATCTGTAATTCTAATTGTGAAATAAATTTCTAAGCTGTTTGAGCAGAAAAAAAAAAGGAAAATTGTAAAAATGTAAACCTGTTTTGTTTTGGGTATTTTTTTAAAAAAATCATATTGTACTTATTTATTTAGGTACCAAAGAAAACAACAATAACAAAGCACCATCTTCACATTTTGTCATAAATTAAGGCCTCAAAAAATTTTTCGATGCAGAGGGACATGCAACAACAAAAAGGCAACTTCTTGAACGAGCAAACACAGACAACCTAAGTCAAATTGACCAGTACAGCCTTAGAACAAAATAAATTAACGAAATTGAAGATGTGTCAAGACATGACAGTACATGTACCATAGTTGTTCACAGATGTTTATGTGATTGAGAAGCCATGCCTGTCCCTCGTTCTATTTTCTCCCTATAGTACTGCGTCACTACTCCATATATATAATGTGTATATATATATATGTGTGTTTAAGTTTATATATATATATACAGTATATATCTCTTTCTAAACTTGTTATAACATTAATAATAATAATATTTGTTATTTATACTTAATAAGGCAATGTTATCCCTTAACCTTAGCAGTTTTCCCCGATAAATTCTTTATTGATTCTACTCAGTGCTCTCTTTACACACAATATGTAGGTACGTATTAATATTCGCACTTGTATCTTTGTACAGGAGTATGTACGTACATACACATAGGCATTACCAATACAATTTCTCCTCTTATCTTACTTTGTACAGGTTGAGACAGAGCATGTGAATAAGCTTTACATGATATTTCTTGATGTATTATTTAATGACAAGTTGTATACTCTCTCACAATCTCATAGATTGTTATACAACCTTTTCAATATACCAAACCACCTAAATACAGTATACATGAAAAGGTTTAAAAACCAATCAAAATTAGGAAATTACTTACACACTGACACATAAATTAAATCTCTGTGAGGGGGTCTAGAGCTCAAAAATAACTGATTGTAACCGAAGTGCTACGGAAAAATTTCTTTGTTCAATAGGATTTTTTCAAAAATGATACGGAGCTAAAAATGTCCCATTTTGGTAAAAAATCAAAAATAATAAATAGGGTTTCTTGGCCCTACAAATTTTATCTACCGGTAGTGCTTAAACACAAAACCCTTCAAGGTAAACTAGGTATTTAGGTGGGATGTTACAGTAAAGCAAATGTCAACAAAGACTTAAGAGTCTCAAGAATAAAAATAATTGTTTTGGAGCCAAGACTATGTTGTCATTAGTTTAAAGAGTTTCTCATGCTTTGTATCAACATAGAGAATCAACAGTCTAATTTAATCTTTGTCTATAAAAGAAATGAGAACCAGTTTCTATAAAAACAATTACAATTAATTTATCTAAATTTTCCAAGAAAGTAGAAAAACAGTGTAGGCAGTTTAAAGCTTCTAATTTACTTTCAATCATTTGTATTTGTCTAGTAAATGGATTTTCTTTACTTTGGTCAAAATGAGCGCTATACATCACACATCTCCTCTCCATTATTCTTTTTATGTGTTAAACTTCATTAAAATAATCAACAACAACAACAACAATATAGCCTACTTTTGTCTTCTATCCCTGATATATTACCAAGAAGTTAAGCTTTCTGCACAACATGAAGCAATTGTTGAATGCTACCTTATCAAGGTATTTAAATTATATCAAGGGAAAAGGCAGCTTACAGACACAAGAGCTTCAAGTAGAGTTCTTTTCTTTTCCTTCAGGCAACCATGTATAAATAATTTGCTTCATTCAAACTCTTATGTTCCTGCACTTGTTGACTCCAATTGGTTCCCTCATCTATAGCAGTCTTCAGGAAAGGCTCAACAGCACACCTTACAAAGAGAAGCAACCAGAAAAATCGATTAGTGAGGGAAAAATAGAGAGATTTATGATTTTGCATTTTTTATAGAGATACACTTTGTCACATTCAATACATGCTCATCAATCCCTCCAAAAAGTCAATTTCTTAGCAGAACTTAACAGAACATTATTTATTTAATAGATGCAAGCTGAGACTATTAAGTGGGTCCACTGCTTCTCAGAAGGAGATAGCATCCTCTCGTGTCACTCTCTTTATGAGTTGATCAGTGATCAAAGTCAACATAGCAGTGAGCCAGCTCAAGCTGACACCCTCCATTACAGCTTTTGTCATTCAAAGAGAGATACAAAACAAGAGAAATGCTAAGCTCTGAAACACTAAAATTTAAGGGGGATTTTAAATTTGCATTTCACAAATACTTGAAAAGTAATATTTATTCATTGATGACCATTCAAATGTAGTTATTTAATTTATTTAAAATTTTTAAAAGGGAAAGTAAACTTAAATGTAAGAATTATTGAAAGAAAATTATCTGAACTGAGTACAACTCACCGCATGTGGCGGCATCTGCCCTTGCTCAGCTGTCCACTGAGAATAACTCCTTGTGTAGAGCAGGGAACTCCAGATGAGGTGTGGATCGTTTGAACTTTGCTAACGCATCCATGTGTAACATGCTCAGATCTCTGTTAAGGCCAAGAACAGTACATTTAGATGATGTTTTATCTGTACTTTGTTGATACAAGTTTATTTCAAATCCAAAAGCTATACCTGAGAACTGGAATTTTTGCAAGCATGGCATCACAAACAGTAACATCCCCTTTAATGGGTTGGGGATGTGTGCGATCCATTTCAATTCTTAGTGCTCTTTGAACAGCCTGACTGAGTCTTGTGATTTCTGCAATGCCCTTCAGTCCTGGTCGATCTGTAACACATATTGAATATTAAAACTGAGAACTCGCAACAGTAAATACGATAAGAATTTCATCAAATTTAATCACCTGGTGAAAGAAGAACCACTGCTGAATATAGTGCCAATTCAGTTTCTGTCAGTTTCATTTCAGCTATTGACCGTGCAAAATCAAATACAAAATTCACAAGTCTCATTTCTGCTGTTTCATTAGTATAAAATGCATCTTGAGGAAGCATAGTTTCAGCATATAATACACAGTTCTGGCTTAGATCGTAGTAACGACTCATGCGTAGTATTGCTAACTCAAAGCTCCCTGCAAGTAAAATTTCACAACAGTATAGCAACTATTTTTGATAAGTAAATGAAGGAATAATCTATGAAATGCAACTTTGAGTAAAGGTAAAATTACATACCAGCTTTTAGCAAGACGATTTGATCATCTTGATGGAGCTTCATGAAGCCAGGGACCATTTTTGCAAATTCAATGATTTGTTGAATGACAGTTGTGAGCTTTTGGGCACATTCAAGCCATAATTCCTCATGTGCCTGATAAAAAGGAGTACTTAAATGGCTGATACAAGAGATAGAGAGAGAAGGAGAGAGAGGTCCTCTTTAGAAATGCTTACCATATCCTTGTAGTAAATGAGCTTGGAGAGATCCTGTGGTTTCCGGAACATATCGTGTATATGTTCCAGTGTAAATAGACATGTCCTAGCATGTGCATCCGCAATTGTCTTGCTTAGAAGTTCAGAGATCTGTGCTGGATCTGGAAAAAAAAAAGGAATTGAATGAAAGAGAATGCCATTGGGAGGTTTGGAATTTCAGATTTTAGATCTAGTCTATCTGAGAAAATAAAATCACAATACAGAAACTGGAAATGATTTAAAATTTTTGATCAGAGTAAGAAAACAGTTTTTATACTGAAAAGTGGTAAAGAAGAAAAATAACATGTCTTTGATTATATAATGTATGTAGGCGGCAAGATAAGAGAAGATTAATTCATTTGCTAAATGGAAATAAACCTTTACACAATCCCACAAAGCATAACATTTCTAGCATGAAGCAAAAGCAGAGTACCACATGGCAATGAAGGAGCACCATATGCTATAATAACAGCATGTTATGTACATACAAAGTGAACGCCAAGACATTTTTATATTACCATAGAATTAAATTTTTCATTTAGAGCCCCGATCACATAAAGGGGGAAAATGATAAAGTTTGATTATTATTTTTGACACAGTTGATGAGACTGATTTCCAGGTTTGAAACCAAATGTAAGATTTTGAGCAAAAAAAAAAAATAATAACGATGGGCTGATAAGCCTCGCCGTAGAGGTTCGGACACGACCCGCACCCCGTTATGAACGAACAGCCCACAGAAATTAAAAGCGAAAGAGAGGTAAAGTGAAGAAATATCTGTCTCTTACTAGGGTGACTGGGCGCCACTTCGGCCTCTCTCATGGGCGAGCAATCCGGTCCCGAGCCCGAGGGCCCCGCCGGGGCGGGAGACGGGTACGTGGTGCTGTCCACATAGCCCGTCACAGTGCTGGAGCCCAGCTCCGCGAGCTCCTCGGGGTCCTGCTTCACGGCTACCAGAGTGCTGTTACTACTCGCCGGTCGGGCAGCGGCTACCCTCTGCGAGCTCTGTGCGCTACCGTTGCTACCGCTGCTACCGCTGCTACCGCTGCCGGCCGGCTGCTGCTGAGGCTGCCCACCAGGCCCCGGCCCCGGCTGGGCTTGATGCGGGAGGTGGTGGTGTTGGGAGAGGTGAGGAGTGTTGGTTGCGAGGGAGGTTTGTTTGCCTGCAAGACACAGCAACCCACCACCACAAGCGAGAGATTAGATGTTGTTAGCGAAGGTTAGATGTTTGATTGGCTGCCACGTTTCATTGACGTAGCAAACTGTATTGGTCGTCCTTTTTACAAAAAAAAGCAGAAGAACCGAAGCTGGGTTGAGCACAAGGAGACTCTAGACTAAAAGAAACCCGGATGAGCGCGACGAACAATCTGAAAACGCAACAGTAGGGGTAGCGCAGCCCTACTGCTATTGCAAGACTAGGAACCGCCTGCCGACTAGAATCGCGTTTTCAGGGCACTTAAACTGGAAGGGTTCGGCTGTGTCCCACCCACCCGCATCACCGCGCAATGCGTAAACGGAACCAACACGAGTTTCACTCACAGTTATGTACACGTCATTGGAAAAGACTAAGGGAATGACCAAGCCTGTTTCTACAAATTAAAGTAACACAAAAACTTCATATCAACGCCACACTGTATCTTTGATTAAAAAATCAATGTAATCTCAAATATCTCAATATTACGTCAACATGACCTTTTCGAGTTACTTGTTGAATCGTGGACCAGCAATCAACATGAAGGTGCCCACGACTTATCGAATCGAAAGGCATTCAATACAACCTGGGCAGTCCAACACCGAAAGCAAATCTTTACAGTGATGACAAAAAGAAACCACAGGAATGTCCCCACTCGCATGCACCCCAGGCCCAGGCGTCATCACTCGCGCATAGTTCAAGACTGCTTTATGTACAAATAGGTGCCCTAGACAAGCCTGCACGAGTGACATGTCGCTAGACCAAGCTCCGGGGCCAGCGACTCTGTCCAGAATTCCGGGGTCCGAGGTGATTTACATCAGCCCCACTTTACAAGTGAAACATACGCCACATCCCTTTAAAGGTGTGATGGGTCACATGCTTACACTTTTATTTGTAGAGCATCCGGTTCACGAACGGCCTCCCCATACCGGTTTCGGTGCATCTATTTCCGTGATAAAATTTGATGCGTTCCCCTCATTTACTCAAAGCAGCACAGGTGTGAGTCGGTGCGGCTAGCGCCGTCTTCTTCCATCATAAAGGTATACTGCACCGCATGCAGTCGTGCGCGCGAATGTTTTACCGTCTCTAGCCACGGCACCTTGTGGCACCGCGCGAGCAGGCAACCCACCCCACACGCCTGCCTGTGGCACTGAGTGCCTAGATAAGAAAGGGGAGGCGCTAGCCAAGCTCCTGGTTCTGGTTGAGGAGAAGTTAGACTTGTGGAAGAGGTTGAGACATTTCCTGTGCTGCCTATTTTCGCGATGTCGCAAACCTCCTTTACACTCCGACAACGCATCAGTTACTATTAGTCGTTTTACGGAAACCCTCGGCGGAGCGTACAGGGTGGCCCGCAGACCCCGGAGCACATCGTTCTGTACCGCATGCAGGCGTGCGTGCGGGCGCGTTCTCGTGAGGAGCCACAAGGCGCCGTGCAGTTACAAGTACAGCTGCAAAATGCGCTCCGCGGGGCCTGCGGGCCACCTTGCATGGTCACGAGCTCGGTCACCACCATCGCATCGACCAACAAAGACCTTACCGGTGGTGACTGCCGACGGCAGGAGGGCCGAGTCGGTGGCGGGGGTGTCCACGCTCGGCGTGCCGGGGGTGGGCCGCGGGTCGTACGCCGTCGTGGAGTCCACGTAGTCGACGTAGTCCGCGCTGATGTCGTACTGCATGCCCGCGTGCTGGGCCACCTGGCCGTAGCCCGAATACCCGTGGCTGGACGAGCCGTAGCTGCCCACCTCGCTCGTGTACCCGTAGCTGCAACAGATATCCACTCGTTTGAGACACACCCGTGCAAAACAGTCACGCGTTTGGGGAGGTCCCCGAGAGGTCCCCCGAGACGCGACACTCACCCGCCATACTGCAGCTGGTCAGACGAGGACGGCGTCTGCTGGTCGAACACGGACGAGTCGGGCGCTGTCTCCGTCTGGGCACGCTGCTGCGCCCGGTGGTACCGCACCTCGTCCTCCACCTTCTCGCGCTGCTTCTTGGACATGCGACCAAACTTCACGGCTGCGGAAGGAGAGGCAAAAGAAAACACGGGTGAGTAACGTGGGAGGGTGAGCGGGTGCAGGGTGGTCTAAGGAAGGTGATATAGAGTTAGGAGGCCGCAAGCTCTCCTATTGGGGGAACCATTTCCCTATCACCTTAGGGTGGACCGGCCCGCCCGCCGCTCGCGCCGGCAGCGCGGGTTGCCTGCCCACGGCCCAGGCACGCGTCAGGCTGGAGGAGGCGGGCGGGCGGGCGTGCGGCCGCTGCAGCAGCCGTTTGGCGCGACTTACGCAAGCCGACGAGAAAGCGCCACAGCGCGCCTCAGCGCGCCGCCGTCAGGTCAGAGTCGGACGCCGGACAGGACCGAAGCCCCCGCCCGGCCCGGCATACCGCGTCGTGCGGTTGCCGCGTTAAAAGAGTCGTCGTAGTAAACGTATGTATGGGGATGATGAACGTTGCAAATACATGGGCGTATGAGGTTCAGAGAGGTGGCGGTGCTGAAGGCGTGGCTGTAGCCTGTAGCGGTCGCAACGACGCAGGGGGAAAAGAAAGGGGGAAGAGAAGGGG